TTGATACATCATGTTTGGTTTTCAGTTTTTGTTCGATCCACAATTTTTCACTTTAAAAAATACAAGCCAATATGCCCAGAGGTTACTATTACTTTTATATGTACTACTTTGACAGTATTGTGATTAATATCTAATGAATTTTGATTGTTTTTATCTAGATAAGACAGACAAATCAAGATTGATAGAGAGCTTAAAGCCTTTTTTTATTATTTACTTTAATGCCAAACGAAACTAAAATACAAACTGTTGTAATTTAACAGTTATACTATTCTTGCTTTCAGAATAAAGGGCATAGCAGTTTACCATTACTTTATTCCCTATAACTGAGGTGTAACTCCTCAAATGGCCCATTTTATAAAAACAGCTTTCACTAAACTCTCGGAATCGTTATTATTTATAAAATATATACTATTTACGATTTATTTTAAGTCATAAGGTTTATAAAAAAACTGACAAAGATAAAGCTGATTTTATGCAGAGAAATTCCTTCCTTTATCCTTAATCTAATAAAAAGAGGCACTTCCTCAGATTTTACAATTTTTAAAGTAACTTGGTGTACTTTTATCATTATATACTATAGCACATTGTGTGTTTAGAAAAAATTACAAAATCATTGTTATATTTGTTTAATTATTAAAATAGTTTACTGTTTTTCATAGCAGACAGTTTACGCATCAAGGTATTCTTGATTATCGTTCGTCATATCGTTCATTTCCTAAAAATTAAACCTTGCTTGCTGCTACTTTTGCATCTTTCATTTTGATGTATTATGTGATATCTAACTTAACAGCTTATGTTTGAGATTTTATTCGGAAAGGGAAACATGATGGTAAAGTACAAAAGTAAGCCTAGGTACTTTCTCAAAGATAAGAGCTCTCAGGAAAGGAAAGCCTACAATGTCCAGCTTAGAGTATTATACAAAAATAATCCGACATGGTCAAAAATGGTCGAACCTGTGCTCGAACGCAATCTGAAAGCTGCGAATTGCCAGAAATGAAGCCTGTCTATTGACATTAAAAGTTTTGAACTAAATAAATTTCTGATAGAAAAAAATACTAATTAAAAAATTTGAACTTAATTAATTGTAATATTTTAATTGGTCAAGCGGACAACGAAATTAGTGAATTTTATGATTTAAAATGAAGTATACTTCACTAAAGCTCTCCGTGGCCATTTCATTTGTCGTCGAGAATCCAATCCGATTACACGACATTTGAAAAATGGCAAAAAGGAGGGAAAATTCAAAAGGTGCGGTTGAGATGGGAAGTTGGTGTCCGAGTGGATCGAGGTCACGAAAGCTCAATTGGTAGAGCAGCGGCGTATCAAGCCGAAGATCGTGGGTTCGAATCCCGCTCATGCCATTGACATTTTATCTCAACTAAAAACCTAAATTAATTCTATAATGTTTTTTGGATATTTATAGATATACTTTACTAATATAGTATTTAGTAATATTCATTAAAATTGTCTGCTTCACTTTCAAGCTGATATTTTCTTTTTAAATTAACGTTTTGCCTGATGGAATTTTCTATTTGAAATATATAACTAATCCAGTCAGCAGTATTATTGATAAACATACATATTATGTTTTCTGACTAGCCCTTCATGTAGTGTTAATATTATTAGAGAGTGGTCACTTAGATCAAAATTTTCCTCAACATTAATGAAAGTAGGTCAGACTTTCAAAGTCTGAAAAAAAAAGTCAAACAAATCAGTTATTTTATAAAGTTCTATTTGAAACTGGACACTTTTTTAATTTAAAACAGCTGAAGAGGATGAAGCTAGCAGTGCCCGGAAATCGATCCATATAAAATAGTAATAAATATTGTATGAAATTGTGTTTTTCGTTATCTCCTTTTATAGAATATAATAAATAATAAATAAAAGAATGTTTATTTGTGTTTATGGCTGAACTCGGCAGACGGACAAATAGTCAGAAGTTGGTTTCTAATATTATTGGAGTTTGTAAAAATAAAAATCGTTCTATAACTAAATATTAATAAACGCATTCACATAATTATATTCTAATCGCGAGTTTTGTAATTGTGAGTTTTTTATGATCGCGAAAATTTTCTGGGAATTTTTTTGCGGAAATTCACATAACCGACATGCTCAGTAGAATGTTTTACAAGTATGCCGCGTTTTTTGTTGAAGGTTTCTGCAAATTTGCAGCTATTTTTCACCCACCAACCTTACCGGACATTTTCCTTTACCACTTTTTCCAACCAAAATAAATAGACAGAATGACAAAAATGCCAGGTAAAGCAAGATTTTTGTCAAGGCTCATTGAGATAGACGACTCGGGTCTTTTGGTTGAAGAACGACTCTTCATGTCTACGTTGCACAGCAAAAAAATATTTTACTATTTACCTAAGGTAAAAGATATTTTTCCCTATTGTCATTACGGTAAACGCTTTCGTGAGAACTGAACTGACAAATCCATTAAATTTTGAACCCTTATCGCTCCTATAAAGCTACCAGCCAGGAATATTAATAAAGTTGATTTTTTCATAACCTATAATTAATATTTTAGATAATGCTTTGTTATTGACGCTGAAAAATTTCACTTGACTTCATAAAACATTTTTGTTGGAAATAAAACCTGAATCGTTTTTGTTTTAAAACCAAAATACATGGTTGAATTAATAATACGAAGAATATAAATGCAATGAACCAACATTTAAGTCAATCGAAATTTTTTTCAAAAGGCAAATAGTGGACATTTATTTCGTCAAAAACATTAAAAAAGAAAAAAACTACTTTCACTGCTACTTGTACGACAGATCAAATAATTAATATTCTATAAATTATGCGTATTTGGTTTTATCCTCCTTAATCTTTGATGCTTTCTACGAGGCTCTGGCGAACTGGAACGGATCAAATTTAATACATCTCTTTATAGGCAGTATTGATTGTAAAATATCTGTAAAACATGCTCCATGTTATGAACTTGATTTAATCAACCATAAAATATGCCTGCCCTTGGAAGGGACTGTACTAAAATCACCATGATATTTTATGGCAATATAAACAAACACTATAGAAAGACAATTTCCGGTAATTGGAAACAAACTTGCATGTAAAAGAACAGAGTTTTGGAGGAAATTTTCTATGAATAGAATTTTTGAGAAGAAAATGCCAGGCAATTAACCACAACGGGCCATGAGTCATGTATTATTTGGAAACATATTACCAAACATAATATATTAGAGATTAAAGGACAAAGATTAAAGTAAAGAATAAATTTGGAATAAAAGTAAAACAACAGTTATATAAAAAATAAATATTAATTAATTATTAAAATTGTTATAAAAATCTTGCCATATAAGGAACAGGTAAAATTTGAAAAAACGAAAAGAGAACAATATAAAAATTTAGTAAAAAAAAAGGTAGTTAATAAAAATTCTTTACTTTAACTGCTATGGGTTAAATAGTGCAAAAAATTATTATTAAAAATTAAATTTATTATGTTTACTCGTTGTTGGCCATATTGATTTAAAATCTCCATAACACATGATTCATGTTATGAACTTAATAAGCACAATGCCCGAGGAATAAGCCTAAAAATCCTAACAGGACAAAATCCCCTTGATATTTCCAAATAAAATCATCATGAAAGGTAATTTTGCTTAATTAACAACAGGCTTGGAGGAAAAAAATTGGCAGGGAGTTTTTAATGAAGAACTAAATCATTTTTGTGAAGAAATACGCCAATCAATTGATACACACTGTATTGTGGAATATCTAAAAATAATTTAGTTATAGAAGTAATTGCACGAAGATTAAAGTAAAGAATAAGGTTTTTAAGTTGAGATAAAAAGTCAGTGTCACGAGCGGCATTCGAACCCACGACCTTCGGCTTGATACGCCGCTGCTCTACCACTTGAGCTATCGTGACTTCGATTCCCTCGAACACTAACTTCCCATCTCAACCCCACCTTTTGAATTTTTCCTCCTATTTGATTCTCGGCGACAAGTGAAATGGCCACGGATTACACGACATTTGAAAAATGGCAAAAAGGTGGGGTTGAGATGGGAAGTTAGTGCCCGAGGGGATCGAAGTCACGATAGCTCAAGTGGTAGAGTAGCGGCGTATCAAGCCGAAGGTAGTTGGTTCGAATCCCGCTCGTGACACCGACTTTTTATCTCAATTTAAAAACCTTAATGAATTGGATGGTATTAATTGGTCAAGCGGACCACAAAAAATAGTGAATGTAAAGAATAAGTTTGGAATAAAGACACACCAAAAGTTATTTAAAATAAAAATATCAATTAATAATTGAGACATTATAAAAATTTTGTTGTATAATAACTAAGTAAAGGCGTGGCGTCGATGGCCGCAACGGTTTAGGCGTTGACACGGCGCTCATCACTGTTAAGGTGAAGGTCCTAGGTTCGAATCCAGCGGCCTTGCATTCGAACCCGGCATACTTACAAATGGGCTTTTTTCAAAAACACCGGCACCCTGAGGGTATTTCTCTGATGTTGCGAACCCTCGTAAAATAAAATAAAAAATAAATAAATAAGTAAAATGTTATTGAAAGAAAACAACATTTTAGCCAACAATTCTTGCTTTCACTACTGATTGTATGACGGTTCAAAAAATTAATTTCCTATGTTTTTTGCCTTATTTCCCTTATTCTTTCCTTTTCTAGACCTCCTCCTGACGAAGTGATGAAGCATAGAATTTCAAAATGTTCCCTCTTTGATGACAATATTGATTTTAAAATTTCCGTGAGACGTGGTTGATACTTTGGCTTGGACTTAATCAAGTACAGTTTCCAACTGGACTGATATGTGTTAACGGCGTTTTACAAACTTTCCACTAAATATTTCCTACTTGTTCTACGTTTAAAGAAACAACAACAGTGAGTGTTGTTTGTTTGAGAGGCGCGGGGTGTCGGGCTTATCCTTTTTTCACAAAGGATTTGTTGGAGGCATGCGCGCAGGCCCGGGGGTTAGTTTACTTAAGGGTGGCAGGGCGCTGGTTTCACCCCTGTCCTACACTGGTGTAAAGCGGGTCCAGGCAGCCTCATCATCACTTCCGAGGCCGATAATGCATCAGAAAACAGACTCGTACCGAATGCAGGTGAGATTTTCTATTTTCTATAATGGAGACAATTTCAACGTCCAGATCGGTCTGGGTAGTTTGCTTTATTTTATATTGATCTCCCAGTGGACACGCCTCGCCGAGGGGGATTTTTATGCCGCTATAACGGCCGTCTGACGTGTGTTTTTGTTTTAGGGATAACTAAAAATTATTATGGAAAACTGGCTAAAAATCGTTTTTCTCTTCGTTGGATTTCACTTGAAACTAGCCAACTCTCTCCCCGAAGTGATAAGGATTGGTGAGAATTGTTCTTTTATTTATTTTTACTGTTTGCTCTTCCTAAAGCACCTACTTTAAAATTAATGTACCATTTAAATTGTATAAACTAGTTGCAGCCTTGGTCAAATTTATCTAGACACACCTTGTGCTATTTTCTTCAAATATATTAAATCGATTATTACTAATGATTCTTCCTTGCCAAAAATAATACATCAATTCAGTTTTATAGAAAATTTTAAATTTTTCCGTCTTATGCCGACTATTTTAACACAATTCCCCATAAAAACTCAAAGAATAATAAAAATGTTCTTATATTATTTTTAAATTTCCGGCAACAATTGCTCATCAAATTTGGTCAAATAAATATATAACAGTGCACCGGTAATAAACAGTAATACGCAATGTTTGTTGGAAAAATTAGTTCAAATTAGGACAAATGTAAATTTTAAAATTATATACAGTTTATCATTTAGATATAATGGTTTATGTTTTTAAAACATAATAAGGGTTTTCTTGCATGTCCAGTCGAGTAGTTAATGAAAAAGGGTTGGTTTTAATAATTTAGTTGCGCTCAGCAAAACTCGTCAATCTCAATGTTTTCTCTTAAACAAATTTAAACTGTCACACACTCACTTATCAATTAGCGTTAAAGAGTTTTTGCCGAACATTTGTACTTAATGTTTATTTTATTTCCGAGTTAAGACTAAATGGAAAAAAACCAGAATGCATTCATATTCAACTATCAAATTTATTTCTCTAAATGTAATTGTAATATAAGAAATATCGTTGTAAATAGATAAATTAAAACCAAACAATATCGCAATAATTTTTAAGAAAAGTTATTATGTCTTATTTTTTGTTTTATGATTTTTTTGTAAGCTAATAATATTTATAGATTGAAAGAGATGCTATTAGATACTGCACAAAAAAGTTCGTTACATTTCACTCAGTCACTAATTTTGTTTTTATTCATATAAATGAATAACAAAAAAATACAATTTTCCTACGGAGGGAAAATCTTCCTTTCACTTTCTCTCACTCTTATGAAAATCAATGGCAGCATTCCTTGCCAAATAATGCGGAAACCGTGGAATTTGTTACGGTGGATCCTCTACCGCCGGCCTTTTCATAGGTTTATTTGTGTTTTAAATTTTAAAACCTCGTGTGCGTTTTTGTACGGAAAAGTAATTTGCGCCCACAGCGTTCCGCAGAATAATTAAACGACGAATAAATTTGTGGTGTATTAATTAACTGTTACTAACCAAATCGACAATAAAATTGTTATGAAAAAAGAGACGTAACGAACTGCTTAATGAAGCACTCTCAATTCAAATTTGAATGTATTTTGGTTTTCTCATAACAAACCATAATTTTAAATGAACGTAATATTCCTTTATTAACATTATCAAACCCACACCTTAAATAAACAACGCGCACAAATTGGAGGATTATAATACTGAATGATTTTCTATTCAGGTGAAAGTTTTTCAAATTAAACAAACGCAAACATAGATGCGAAATAAAAATAAAAATATTTACTGGACAATATTGTGGATTTATTTAAAATAATTGGAATTTTCCTTAAATTATATTCCATATATGGGATTTTTGAAGAAAAAACACCAACAAATTAGGTTTTTTTTTTTAAATAGCGTAGCCAATTTTAATTTATTTTCATGAACTGCAGCATATTTTCTGCGGGACTAAGGTCTAATTTGGCAGATTGCATCGAAACCATAAAATGGATTACGCTTTAGGTTACGCTTATTTGATAACACGCGTACTCACATACATACGCACACACACACACACACACACACACACACACACACACACACACAGTGATGAAATACGAAATGACAACAACCGTAAAGAAATTTAGGCTCCAGATCATTGCTCAAATAACCAGGCTGCGCAATTGGCTATCTATTGAGTTGTACGGAAATTAATGCATATTTTCGTGTTTTCTTTCTACCTCTCTATGTATTACAATAAACTGTTTACGCTTGATGGAATATTCTTTTGAACGAATGTCAACACTTTTTAATACTCTTCCAAACAGAAATGTTTGTTTATCTCAGTTGGTAATAATTCAGTCTTTACTAAGATGTCACGAAATATTTATAAATGGGCTTTATAGAAAAACATCGGCTCCCCAGAGGATCGTATAACCTAGTAGTTGAAATACTCTCGTAAAAAAGATAAATACTAAGATCGCAACGCGTGATTTTCGCGTTATTTCGTTTTACGAGTTTAAACTACGTCGGAACGGTGCCCAAACGAACAGAAATATTAACGAAGTCTGGGGCGATGACAGTGAGAGCATCGTTCAGAGAGGGTTTACAGAATGACTTTAGCCTTGAAGACAAAGAATGTCGTGGAAGGATTGATTTCTCCTTAGAATAGAGTAGAAGAAAATTCCAGAACGACCGTTCGAAAACTTGAAGAGATTCTTTCAATTAGCGAATCGACCGTCGCTGACCACCTTAAGGCAATTTGAAAGGTAAAAAAGATCGAAAGTCAAGTTCCCCATGCATTAAACGACTGTCACAAATCATTGTTATGAAGTTCGTGCAACACTTCTTTGCCGAAACAGAAACGAACCTTTTCTGGATAGAATTGTCTCTTGTGATGAAAAGTGGATTCTCTACGATAACAGGAGACGTACTGGACAGTGGTGGTGACTCATTGGAGGGCTTCATTTGGGCTGATTTGTTGCAGCTTCTTGAACCTTGGAGAAATAATCAATGCCAACCAAAATGTATTGCTCTCAAGTTGAAGCAATGCTCCAGAAATTGGCATTAATGAAGCCATCTTTGGTCGATCTTAAAAGGCCGATTCTGTTTCACGGCGTAGAAGAGAACCATTTTTTCAGACAACTTGTACAACATAAAAATTTATTGATCAAAAGTCGTTAGAAAATGCGTTTCCAGAATTTGTTAATAATCAAGACTAAAAACTTAGTTCGGAGGGTTACCATCACGTTGCGAAAAGTGTGTGGGGACTAATGAAAGATATTTTAATTGATAAAAAATGTTTAAAATCATTAATCTTTGTTTTTATTGTTTAACCATAAACCTGTATTATATTCCGGACGGCTTCCATGACTGTGACTTGGACGCCGTAAATGTAAGTGTCGGTCAAAAAATGAAAATAAGTAAGGAAAGCCACATACCAATAACCCCACTCTTAAACGCTGGTTATCATCTTCAATTAATCGAACAATTAAGAAGAAAGCTTATCTGAAACCAGATCCAATACATCTCCTTTTCGTGAATATTGGTACCCATGAAATGGCAGTTGCGCTGGAGAAAATAGCAACCAAAGGCAGTAGCATAGAAATAAGCTATCACCATTTTCTTATGACGTACCTACAAAAATGGACGCAGATCACACATGGTAAAGTGAGCGGAGAACTGAAACATGTCCTTAAAGGAAAGTTAACAAAAAATGGGGACCGCAGTAGCCGAGTGGTTAAAGCGTCCGACTCTCGACTAGAAGATCCCGCGCTCGTGGGCTCGATTACCACCGTTTCCTCTGGATTTTTCTGATGAAAGTAGACGCGACACTCAACAATGGAAAGCCCGTCGGGATCGAGTCTCAGAACCCTATGCTCCATTCCCCCCTTCGAAAATGGTTTTCTTCGATGGAAGAACACCGGCACACCGCGGGCTCAATTCAACCAGGTTTGTCGCGGGCTCCGAAAATGGAACCAGGAAGGGCTACAATAAGCAACTGCAATGCGAATGGGGAACTCCTTCAGTTTTTGGTATCCATAAGCAATAAAAAAAAGTATTCTTCCTGACTATAGCTGATTCGCTTCGTTTGGACCATACCTGAAGCACTTATAACGCAAATCTAACTGGACCTATAAGTATCTAACTGGACCTATAAGTATAAGTGCAAAATAAAATCTAGCCCGGCGTGTTCATGTGATCAAGGTTCGGACCAGACAGCTAATCAGTACTGTTCGAATGTGGCAGCATCCTACCACCGAGACACCAACGTTTGCAACCTAAACTCATAAGCAAGATAAAGTGGGAGGAGAACTGGAACATGTCTTTAAAGGGAAAGTTAATAAAAGAATGGGAACTGTAATGGTTAAGGCGTCATATTCTTCACTAGTAGAAGGTATATGCATATATATGCATCCTCGGTATATTCGTCACTCCTTTGGCCAGAAAATTTCCTACGATTCGAAGATTCATATCGGGAATATTTAAATTCTTAGGTAACTAGTCCCGATTGTTGAAGGAATTAAGTGAATATTTTATGCATTTTAATATGTACGTATATCTTACTCTTAATTGGCTGGTTGAATGGTTACCACGGTTGGAATAATTTATTTGCATATGAATTGTACGCATGGGATTATAGGGCTTTCTTAACAGTAGAATTTAATTTTTAGTTTAAAGTATAACGTATATTATTCTTTATTTGTATTATTTTTCTATTATTTAAAAAGTGTGTTTTCTTTGTTGCTGTAAATCTTATGTAATACAAAAGAAAGTGCGAGTCTACTCAATAGACGAATTTAATGTTAGTTGAAAAACTTGTTATAATGTGTAACTTCATTTTTGTAGTATTGCGCATGTAATTTTTATTTACATTATTCGTATAGTACTTTAAAAAAATTTATTTTTCTATGTTGTAATTCTTCGGAAACACAAAAGAAATGTGGGAGTCAAGTGTGGTTAAAGTTCATGCCTAAGTGTTAAAAATTGTAAATATTGTATTGGATGGGAAAAAATAATAAAACCCTATTATTATTATCACATTGACATCCCATTTCCATTAATTTCATAGGAGACAGATTGAGATGTAATTTTAATTTTGTGGATTTGCAATGTTTCCGTTTTGTAATATTTGGCCTAACTCAATTTCTTTTCCAATTATTTGACCCGGTTGAGGTAACGGCTCCACTAGATAATCATATTGAATATCTCCAGGGGCGGTAAATCAGATTTTCTTGTTTCTTTGTGGAACCGCTGATATTTCAAATTAGCATAGATATTTAGG